AAACAATACACGGTGCTCTAAGCACAGAATTACAATAACAATTATTCAAAATATGAATTATAATATATAACATTGATTACGTCATAATGATTATAATAATATATCCATTGGATAATTACACAAACACAATGTAATATAGTCATAATGAACTGTCGTGGTATTATTTACTCGATGCGACAGCTTTAATAGGTATAGTACACCTCTTTTATATTTCTCCATTTCACTATTATAATATCATCCCATCATTTATTGTTTGTTATTATATTGTACAAATTAACGTATTATTATTATTGTTTGTTTATGACCGGAACACTCATAAACCTATGTGTTCCCGTTAAACGTATAAAATAGATGGAAAAATTACTTCTAAAACAGTCGGCACCAAGTAAACAACTGACTGTAAATATTGAATGATTTACAATGCAAATTATTTTGTTCGTATGTAGAAATAAAATATGCTTATTAATATATAATATTGCTTTTCTTTTTTTATGATTTATTCATTCCTTAAACCATAGAATATTTAAATCGGGTGTCACCGGTTTCCGCCAAAAATGACCTTTCCGTTTTCCGCCAATACCTTTTTCCGCCAAACTAGAAAAAACATCATTCCTTTTACCGCCAATTATAAATTATAGAATTTTAAAGTTTGGGCACCCTTACGTAAATATTTAATAATTTTATATATTTTTTTAAAGTTTTTTCCAGACTTAATTCCAGTTATTACTCATTATATAATAGTAATTATACTAGTGTACTGACAAAATAAGTCAAAAATATAATTTTATCATAACACTTATTACGATAAGCCAATGGTTTATTTTGAGATATAATAGTCTATACCACGGACTAAGATATACAGGACTGGACACGAGATAAATATTGTGGTTACGAAATGTTTTACAACAGGCGGAGTTCGGGGGGATATTTTCCTTTTAGCATTACTAGCGCCGTCTTAGTGGATACTTATGGAACTAGAAATTTGTATGATGTGTTCTAGTTCCATAAGTATCCACTAGGACGGCGCTAGTAATGCTAAAAGGAAAATATCCCCCCGAACACTGCCTGTTGTAAAACATTTCGTAGTCAACCCCCCCACACCCTCCAACCTTGTCGTGTCCAGTCCTGTATATCTTAGTCCGTGGTCTATACGGTATATAATATCTTATACGGTGGGTTTTTAGTTTTTATACCAGTATGCGTCATTTCACTCTGTATTCAAAGATCATTTTTATAAACGGACACCACATATTATAATAAAATGGATTACTGTACTTATAGAAACTATTCAAACTAATGTCTATGTTACTTTAAAGAGTATTAATGAATGTAAAACACCAAGAAAACATAATATGAATGATAAACGTAAACGAAGTGAAGAATTAATTTCAAAATACCAACGAGATGAAATCAGTAGATATGAATTCGTAAAACTGATCTCAAATCATTATGGTAAATGAGGTTCGAATAAAATGTTTAAAATATTATACACTTATATTATATAGGTATATTTAATTTTATTTCAACTATGTTTCAGTTTTTTATAATGTGATTTCAATTTCAAGTTTCAACCAATTAAACGAGCGCCGACACTTTGTCATCAGAACAATGCAAATATAAATATCATTTTTCAACGGAAGGCTATTACTAAGGCTCCACTGTCTGTCCGTCTGTCACCAGGCTGTATCTCATGAACCATGAAAGTTAGAAAGTTGAAATTTTCACAGATTATATATTTTAGTGGATGCTATAACAACAAATACTAAAAATCCTTTTTTTCCGAGGAAATCAGGGGATGGAAGAGGAACCGCGTTAGCATTACTTCTCCTCAATACTAAAAATCCAATAATATAATAATACAAGGAGTTTTGCCAACATAGCTGATGATGGTACGAAACCCTTCGTGAGTGAGTCGGACTCGCAATTGGCCGGTTTATTTAATACTTATATCTATCATACCTAATAAGTGTTATGATAAAATTATATTTTTTGACTTATTTAATATTTTGTCGGTACACTAATATAATTACTATTATATAATAAGTAATATCTGTAATTAAGTCTGGGAAAAATATTATTATTTACCTCTATAGTGTGTATAATGTGTGTACCTATACAATATATTATAGTTACTTAAAAAAATATATAAAATTATTAAATATTTACGTAAGGGTTCCCAAACTTTAAAATTCTATAATTTATAATTGGTGGAAAAAGAAATGGTGTTTTTTCGAATTTGGCGGAAAACCGAAAGGTCATTTTTGGGGGAAACCGGTGACACCCTTTAAAACTATTTCGTCACGCGTCATACCAGGTAAAAGCAAGCCTTGATTAAAAGTCTAGTTGACCCATGAGGAGTGCCGGTTTGCCATAAATTATCGTCAATATTCTGTATTTAATTATAACATCATAAACATCAAATATTCTAAATTCTACTTTTAGTTTGATGTTTTTGATTCGAGTTTTTAAGCAGCCCTATCAATGATATATTATTACACTCGCATTAATAAATATTGATCAGTGAAAATTACTATATTGAGTTAGATTAAATGTCCTAATTTTTCAACATTTTTACTTTACGTAAAAGGAATCCAAAGAGGAAGATGATAAGATGACCTATTTAACGGAGATATACCAACTATAGATAGAATTTCCAATCGATTTATAGGGTCACATAAAACTTTGGAAGCACTATAGTTGTTTCTAGAAACCTAAAAAAAAAAACTAACAAACACATACACATTGTAAAACCAATACATTTCTACACACTAAAACACAAAAAAAAAAATGGTTTATGAATAAGCAAAATGTTCAAAAATTGGTTGTAGTAATTTAAGTATTACACTTTACAGATTAGTGCAGTGTTTCCTAATAGTTAGTGCTATAATAACTATTAGAAGAAGTAACGTCAAAGAGAGTGAAAATGAGGACTTTGTTTTTCGGGTTCGTAAAAATAATATCTTATATTATTGTTTTAATTTTTTTTTAAATGAATATAGAATTGATGATATTATTCTAGATGGGTAGGTTAATACCTACCTATTATTATAACTCTTTAGAAAAATATTAATAATCATGGAAAAAAGCTGGTGAGTGGGTATTGCACAGTAATGCTCTGCTGTACACCTGTACATTAGGTGTCTATAGAGAAATCGCTGTAAAGGATGTGTTAAATTTGAATTTAATGATATAAAATCATTGTATAGGTACGTTAAAAGATTCTGAGCAAGCTTCTGTCATCCTATAATATTACTATTTACTAAGTATATATGGTGTTATAATTGTGATAAAAGTAATTTATTTTACAATTAGGAATTAGTATACTACACTACTACAATAGGGAGCTTAAATTTATTTTTGGTGAAAACATTGCATTTTAAAATTACATTATGTGAATAAAATATAGTTGTATATTTAAAAAGTTTCAAGTGCCAACAAATAATATTTTTAAATTACAACAAAATAACTAAAATCGTTATTCTTTGTTATAATTCGTTATAATTTGGTATAAATTTTAATTTAAAATGTCTATAGATAAAAACTGTGTTACATATATTTTTTAGATTTGTTGGTTAGATTATGAATGACTAGGACCTTAGTCATTGGCTCTTAAAATTAAACATTTTATACATTCTTAACTACAAAATATTTTGCAAATTTTCAATTTCAAAAAATCTAATTATAAGTAGATGAACTTATGGGAAATTTTCAAATCTTAGATATAAAAAAAAAATGATTTTGAATTTTTAACCCAATATAATTTGCAAGTTTTCGTGATTTTGTAAAATAAAAAATAAAACTACAAAATAATATTACTAGATAGTTTTAATTTTTGTTTTAAACGTGTTAGTTTAAATTATTTTATTCATTGAATTCAACTCGTTGACTTAGAGAGTTATTATGAATTAAAATCAACTATAGTTGATTAAAAAGTAAATTTCTAACTATTAACTTTAACTTTGAAACTAGTTAGTATTTTTTTTTGGTACCCATCTTTGATTATTATTCACCATAGGTAACTACACCATATACGCAACAGGGGCTAACGTACATTTACTATAATTACAACTTTTGTACATACTTTTGATGTGAAACATATTTTATAGTGACCATTGGTGATTTTTTGCATTCAACTCAAAATTATTCTGAAATAACGCAACAGAGAAAATAGAATATAATCCATCAAGTGAAGCGAAAGCTATTTAATTTACAATTAATGTTATCTCTACTTCTTCGGGTGGAAAACATGGCAAGCCGAAAAATTATTTAAGCAATTTATCTAAGAATATTATTATTTTTATACTTCCTTAAAAATGAGCTACTAGGTACTTGGTAGTCGATTACAAACCAGGATTGAGCTAAATGAAAATATTTACAACGTACAATTATATTGTATGCCGAGGAAAAACATTTAAAATTGAGTTTTGAGTTTATCTTTCAAAGTCTACCTGAATTTCTTTAATAATAAATTACCGCAGATTGAGAATATGTGAGTAGGTTTAAATTTTGGAGTGTTTCCCGCATATAAAACTTGTGAGAAGTCATCGTAAGTTTTTCCTCTAAAAAAAAAAAAACAAAATACTATAATTCACGTAAAAATATTTTTTTATAAATATGAATTGTATCCACAGCCGAGTAAATAATTTTGGGTAATACCTAGGGAAATTACAACAATATGTACCAGTCTATATAATATGCATATTATAATATATTATTTGGCAAACGAGTGCAGGTTGATTGATAATAATATTGTATAGGTTAGGTTAGGTACCTAATGTTTTGTGCGCAATCGGGTATGGTTACTTCTATATAGTAATAATAATAATATAATAGGTACTCTGTGCGCAGATGACTTGCGGAATGGGAGATTCTAAAAGGTCGGGTATGCAAACTGGTTGCGGTATGTGTTATGCAACACACTATAAATTAATTAATTATAAATTATATTATGCCGGCGAAACGGCATCGGCGCTCAGGTCCATTCAGAAACCGCGACCAAAATGATGCGGACGTTGCAGGTGGTTATTACAGTTTTCGTCTGTCCGTCCATCGTTTTCGCGAACCACACGACCCCATCGGATAGTCGTCACGGAAATGTCTCTTATATCGACGTGGACGACGTGTCGTCTTCACCCCCGAGACCCGGCGAAGACGGAGTTCTGGTGCAGACCACCGACAGTTATTTGCCCGACCAATGGGTGGCCGACTTGTTTTATCGAGCGTTGACGAACTTTAGGATACGGGAGGGCGTCGGTTCGTCGACCTGTCAAAACCAGACTCAAATGTACGTCAAACATTTGAAAAACAACTCGTACTGGGCAGTGAAAAGTAAGTTTCCTAAATCTATATAATAATATAATAACATCGTAGGCCGCGACCGATAGGGTCTCAAGACTTGAAATAATAATATCATTTGTTCTTAAATAGTTCTTTTAAAATCTTCAAAGCTGTAATGTCGTACGCCAGTGGTTATTACTCATGACGTTTACGAGACAAAATATATTTTTAAAATTATTTAATATAATTGTATTAAATATTTTACTCGTTTACGAATTTGAATGTGTAAAATTATATACATTTTTTTATTTACCAGTATTTTAAAGTTTGAGTTAATATTATGGAATATGGATGAATGAAAAATTTAAGTTGGTTTTTTAGTATCTATATTTTGTGTAGTTGTGTATTATATAATATATTATATTTATGAAACACATCATCACAATTTTTATCAGCAGCATAAGAGTGCCGAGTGTGTTTATAGTAATGGTCGATAGTCTCATTTGATGTATAGCCAAAAGCCACTAACACATAATATTATTGTAGTTGATAATGCGATCGTCGTTGTACTGATTAGATTGCATTTTCAGCAACAATATACTTAGATTGATCGATCTGTCTAACGTTGGGGGGGGGGGAGATTTTTCGAATAGACTTTGCGATAAATCCGTAAAAATTAAAAAAAAAATTAGATATAATTTATAGAGACCGGATTTTTATGTTTTTACATTTCTTTAATGAGAGTATGCAGCTCCAATATTGGATAAGGTTTCTCAACGATTCATTTACCAAGAACTGATTACAAATTTTTTTAGTGCATAAAAAAGTATATTTTAACAGTATGTTTTTTACACATATTTTGTGTAAAAAACATGTTTTAGGAATATATTGCCATATCAAATTTGAATATTTTATAAAAATCTAATAGATAAAAAAAAAAATTTTTACTTGTTATTATTATTATTATTATTTTTTGAGTTCATATGGCTGAATTATTTAAGTTTGAGTTATTTTAATACATAATATATTATTCTGTTGTTGAACTAGGTATATGCAATAATTTTTTTATTTTTATTAATATAATTTTTGGAATTCATAAGGCTGAATTATTTAAGTTTGAGTTTGAATACATAATATAATATTATTCTGTTAATGAACTATAGGTATATGCAATTATTTTTTATTTTAGTATTGTTACTTTTTGAATTCATAAGTTTGTGTTACAACTTACAACAATTAAATATAGGTACACCATTTTATAGATTAAATATAACTGTTTATTTTTATAAACTGTTACTTTTATTTGTTTTTTCCGTGTTTAATAAATTTTTTATGAAAAAGAATATTTTGATGAACTTATAGAGCATAGAAGCATCTTATTTTCAAGATTTTAAATCCAGTCTCTAGATATAATGAAAACGCTTGTTTATTTTAACAAAATCTTGACAACTTGCTTATAAGTTATAACTGAGTTCATCCGATCCAAATCATGTTTTAAACCTAAATCTCGTAGACACCGTTTTCTTGTGTAGTTATTATTTAGGTACCTATCAAGATATTCTTTTTCATATACAATTTCGATTTTTTCGATGCCTGAGATTTACCTAACCTCATAACGAAAACTATACGCTCTACGCGTCATCATTGTTATAACGTCTTATAATGCCATTATAGTCTTTGTCGAAACAGAATACCGTTTCCATTTAAGCGTTAACATCATAAATGATACGATGTATTTTCCGCAATAGTGTTACTACTTACAGTTTACCATTTACTTATGAATTTGATATTTTTTTAGTGTACGATTCTTGGAGCCGATATCCAAACGGTATACTATCGGGTAGAACGCATCACATGGGCGTGTACAGTGAATGCATTGACGTGCATCAGCCTGTTCAAGGAAAGTACTGCATGACAAGTACAAAGCTCAGTACGGTCGAAGGTACAAAACCGGAAGACTTGAAAAAAAAGGACGAAACGGAAACTTATGACCACGCTTGGAACGAAATACTCGGGGTAACCCAAAATATTGAATCCATATCATGTGCATAATAATATAATAATATGTTGATAATATATTATGTATGAGTATATTATTACACATAAGCGGTTTCGATAAAAACTCAAAGTTGTGGGGGGGGGGGCGAATTTAGTATCATGGCGTAAAATATGCAAACAAATTGTTTTCATCCTATTTCCGATGACTAACCGCAAGCTTATTTGTACTTGGTTTTTATTGTTGTTACGGTATCTCAAAACTTCTACAATATATTTTATAAGCCACTGTTGTAATAGTAAGTATATTATGTTATGATCATCATCTATTATTGCAGAGAAAAGTTTTCGACTAGCATCTTACTCCTAACCACGATATATTAACTTTTTACTTTTTGGTGATTGACAACAATAAAAAAAAAAAAAAAAAAGCGGGTAAGTAGATGTCACTCTGCTGTACAGTAGGTTACAAGTGGGTCAGTGTTTAATGGATTGTGTTAAATTTTAATCCAACGATATCATATCATTGTTATCGAAAAACGATTCTGAGCGGAGACGGTTTGTCAGTCTGGATATTTTATTATTTATAGCCTGTAAGTTGAATTATTACAAATTATAACAAAATAACTACAATCGTTACTCTTGATTATTTATCATGTAATTTCGTCCAAATTTGAACTTAATATAACTATAAGAAAAAAACTGTGTTTTTGTATTTTAGATTATAATTATTATTATTAATCGACAACAGTTAACGCAATTCGTTCGCTATAAAATATTACATCGAATATCGTTGACCGAAATACGTTTTGCTTAACATAATATTACAGTTGTTCGACTACGAAGACCGATATCGGAGAAACGAAGTGAAAATAGGCATATGCATACCGGAATCTTGTACCGCCTCGAATCTCGAAACGTCGTTACAGAAAGACCTCGACATCGTATTTTCACCTCACCGAGTACAACCCAAAGTCAAAGTCGACCACATGTTGTGTTCCACGGACAAGAATATGTACCCGTATGATACCGGATATTATGTCACCAGGTATATGTAGGGACAGTAATTGAATCGTAACACAAGAGTATAGATAACGCGATACCTTGCGAACGATTTTAAATAATTTCAAAATGTGTACGGTATTTTTTTTTCTGGGGGGGGGGGGTTGAGGCTTCGACAACTGTGGTCATTAGGCTGTGGAACTGTGGGGGAGGGTACTATAGGTTTTGTGTGTGTTTGTTTTAGAAGAATTTTTAAGTGGGCACACTTAGGTATCTGCCATGCCCGGGTGGGGAATTTGTATCGTATTTATTTATGAACATTTACTATGTAGAGTATAGACTATAGAGGACACGATGTCATAAAATGATCACCCGTTATCGCCATTGAATAATACAATAATTATTAATAGGATGTCAGCGATTGAATTTTTGTGCACCCATCACCAAGAACTTTGAAGAACGGTTTAAAAAGAAAGTCAATACGATCAGTATATATAAAATTAACTATTATGACATTTTAAGAAAGGAAGAATTATTGTATCTATTATAGTTATCGAGATATTATCCGTTTTGCAAAATATTCATTTTTTTTTTTAAATGTTAATCAGTTTCTTTTCCAAGAGTCAATTCAATACTTTTATTTTAGGTAAATATCTACTGTTCCAGATGTTAAAACTAAAAATATGCACGTCAAGCCTTAAAGGGTAATATAGGCATACTCGATGTAAAATCATTTTGGAATGATATTTGATCTTAACGAGCATAATAATATGTTCTTACCTAATTTCATAACCATTAATTATGTAACAACCAACAATAATACTGAATATTCGATCACACCTAAATATCTTTGAAATAGTATTTATAATAATTTAAAATTTAAAATTGTATTATTTTCCTTTACCTAAGTATCTCGTTAAAAATTCTCGCGATGACATCCTCTGAATATAATATTCTCTACGTCTTATATTATAATCAAAGTTTTGTCAAGCATGCGAATACCACAACAGCTATGGAACAATGGAATTCATATTATACAATTATGGTTTCTCTAAACAAAGATATAAAAGTTTGACTTTTGACTTTTGTAGCTATAAATAAAAATAATGAATATTGTGGTCGGTTTTTTTTATTTCATAATATTATCATTATAACTTATAAGTATATAGGTTTATAGGATGAGTGCGTCATGATTTTATTAAATTGCCAATACACAGATTTTATAGTTTATTATAAACCTCACCAAAACCTTTTTTCAGTTCCATAATGTACTTATTGCTGGTAATCTGTTGCATGTCTACATTAATCCACATTATAGTAATGACTATAACGAAAGAAAATACAAGTGAGTAATAATTATAAATCTTATATTATTTTTATAATGCTATATTATAAAATAATATAATACATTTATTTACGGTTTTTTTTTTTTTTAATGAAACGATACGGTTTGTTTGTACATCGCACATATATTATATTATGTACTATTGCATGTACTTGTCTGATGAATTCAATGAGAACTTTTCTTAAGTTAGGTTAAGTTAAATTAAATGCAAAAAGCTAAGTTAATGTTATTCTAAATATTTAACTTTTTGATTCGTTTACGCCCAGGCCCAGGCTCGCTTTAAAAGTTTTATTTAAATATTTTACTCCGTTTTCGTCTCTTTTCAGATGATATCTTACCAAAGTACATATATTGGTTTTCGGTTATTCATAACGGCAGGAACTTAATCAAACACGACAAAAACAACGAGCTGAATGTTTTTAATGGTTTCAAAGCAGTGACGATGGTGATGATATTATTCGGTCATAAATTCATATTCCATTCAACGAGTCCCATATTGTACACGATGAACAATGAAATGGTAATTTGCAGTATTGTGTTCCTGCAGAACTCGTGATAGTCTTATAATAGGTGCAGGTGATAGGTAACACCACCGAGTGTGGTGCATTTTAAAAGGATTTCAGCCCAATATTAGTTTTCTCCGTCAGACCTCATGAGCAACATAGATCAAACGCATTTGAGTGAAATACTTTTTTTGGGGAGTTTGTGGGATTTTAGAATAGTTCTAAAAATATTTTCTGGATAATATACGTTTTATCTATATTGCTAGTGGGTGGGCCACATATGTAGAGAGAGAACAGCGCAGTGCGCTAACGTCCACTTAAGAGTAATTTTTTCAATCGAAATGTCAATATAATTTAGTATGGATCCTCGCAGTAGGTATATATTATACTATAATATACTATATTTCGCTTTATTATTAAACTTCTTCGTACAACGCCCCAAAAGTCTCCAAAAATAAATGTTGTGGTTGAAATAATACAATATTATACAAAATATGACGTAGCTCCTACCTATTAATAATAATTAATAAATAATATCAATATAAATATATAAATATTGATTTACCTGAAATGTCATTCAGATTTAAAAATCAAATTATTTCTTGCCGTTTCGTGGCATAGATTTACAGAATAGGACCAGACATTTTACTGACGAGTATGAATATAGTAGACCTTTTTTTCTACATAACTGGTTTTCTCATGTACGTTATGATCAAGCCACAGCTGATCAAACGTGGAGCCGGTTGGATCCAGATACCGTTGATAATATTTTACAAGTACCTAAGGTAAAAAACAAATAATATTTATTACTTTATATGGTAATAATAATAATAATGATAAATTAAGCATAATAAAATGTTGAATAAGTAATTTGTCGTGACGTTCTATAAGACTACGTTCAGCTCTAACATCTTCGTGACGTAGTAGGTTTATGCCTTCAGTGGCGCAAATAGGAAAAATGTTTAGGGGGGGGGGGGTGCTCAAGACCCAAATTTTATTTTATTTTTGAGGGGGCTGAGCCCCCCCAATCCCACCACCTATTTTCGCCACTGTATGCTTTGCATGATTTCGCAGAGTTCTACCAGCCTATGGAGCGATGATGCTATTGACGGCGTATTTCATACCATATATGTACAATGGCCCCTTCTGGGCGTCCAGAATGTGGCCCGAGGCGCAAAAATGTAAAAACTACTGGTGGGCAAATGTATTGGCGATTAGTAACTTCATAGAAGTCGACGACCAGGTAAGGGGGTAATACTATACCTATAGCGTATTACAATATCATACGCGTGTGGCAGATCTCTGCATTCTCTGGTCCATTGGTGCTGTAAACCCAGAAAATAGTTTGATGTCGGCTGTCCTCCGATTAATTAACATAATAATATATCAGTCCAACAGTTGTTTTCTGTTTATCATAGATCAATGAAATATTAGCCCTATTGGTATTTGGTGCAAAATAGATGTCTTGTGGTCCTCAACCACGGTCCATTAAATACTCTAGGGAAGCAGGATAAACCTGCAGATTTCAAATTATTTCAAGGTTCGCTAAAATCATATTGGCCCTTCTTGCATCAAGTGATGACCCCAGCCCCCCTCCCCCCCAAAAAAAATCTCATAGTAAAGTATTGAGTTTCATTTTAGTGAAGTAATTAAACTTTAATCTTATTATTAAATAACTGCAGTATATAATATTATAGTAATTTATAGTACCTACTATTATACTAATATTTGTCGGACTGATGTTGTAAATAATTGATCGTTTTTCACTTTTGCTCACCAAATAAAATATAAAAAAGGTGGGTAAGTGGATGTCGCTCTGCTGTACAGTAGGTTACAAGTGGGTCACTGTATAATGGATGCTATTAAATTTGAATTCAATGATATTTTATCATTGTATAAGAAAAACGATTCTGAGCGAAGACGGTAAGTCAGTCTAGGTTTAAGACAAATTATATACATATCTATGGTATTAAAAAAAAATTGACCTATAATAAATTCCAAATTAATCATATCACATTATCACAATATCCATTAGGTACTTATAACACGCTATACATCAACATCAATAACAAACCCTGATACTATCATAGATATATAATAGAGTACACTTTAGAAGTTTCAAGTAGGTACCCACGAATAATATTATATAATCACAACAAAATAACTAGGTTTTTTAATATGTAATTTCGTCCAAATTTGAACATAAAATGACTATAAAAATAAACTGTGATTGTATATTTTTTAGATTTTTCGGTAAGAGAATTAACTTACTTACGTGGAATCTTGTTTTAAATTTTCAATCCTTAGCTATAAAAACTGAATTTTATAATTTATTAATTACGATGATTAATAATTTTCGAGATTTTGAAAAATTCTGTCAAAATTCAATGTTTAAATGCTTATAAAAAAAAATTGTGCCTATGTATTTTTAATATTTTTCAACTGATATTGTAAAAATATATCAGGAGCCTTGTATTAAATTTTTACACTTTTTGGCCCAAAAGATAAAACTTTATTGATATTCATAGAAAAAAAAACTAAAAAAATTGAAAAATGAAAATATCCGTAAATAGCTCAAAAAGAGTCAAAATATTTTCAAAATTGTATGGTGTATAGGAAATACTAATATAAACATTCAGTGAAATTTTCATGTATCTATAGTTATTCGTTTATGAATAACAACAAAATAAGGAAATCGCTACATGAGAAATCGAGTGAACATCCAATGTTGTAAAAATTTGAATTTCAAACGCTCATAAAAATTTAATTTGACTGTCCGGTAGAGATTTTTTTTATTGATAAATGTAGACAAACTTATGAGTAATCTTGTATTACATTTTCAAATCTTAGATTTAAAAAGAAAAATTTTCACGAATTCTTAACTCAAAATAATTTGTTAATTTTCGTGATTTTTCCATATTTTGTCAATTTTTGAACTTTAAAGGCTTATAAAAAAAAACTGTGACTAACGATTTTCAATATTTTTCATCTGCCTTTGAAACAATATACTAGGAGCCTTCTATTAAATTTTCAAGTTTTTTTAACCAACAAATAAAATTTTATTGATATTTCTAGAAAAAAAACTAAAAAAAAATGAAAAATGAAAATGTCCCTAAACAGTTCAAAATAAATCAAAATATTATCGTGTATAGAAAATGCAAATATAAACAACCACTAAAAATTTCATGTATCTACGGTCATTTGTTTTAAAGTTACACCAAAAACCAAAATCGATTTTCTCGAAAACAGATTTTGCTTAAAAATTCCCGTTTTTCCTTAATTTTTCTTTTGTTTTTCTTGGCGCTTTTGAAAAGTACTGGGAATTTTAAATTTTGACCTCCCCAATGCACCAACGATATTCACTTTCCAATCGAACAAGATACTGAAGTCGAAAATCGAAGCATTATTTCGACTACTTATCGTGTACACAGACACAAAAAAAATAAATAAAAAAATAAAAAAAAAAACACACATCATTGTAAAATCAATACATTCATCGTTCCACTCAGAATCTAAAAAACTGAGAACTATAGTTCCGCCACTGGTGAACGTGCGTTTAGTGTAGTGTACAAAACTAACATAATATAACATAATATTGATTCGTTTATGTTTTTTAACAGACATTATTAAACAAATGTTTATTATCTCATAAAATATCTTTTATATTATACACTTACTGTTTAATATTACATAATTTTATATTATCTACATTAATAGTAGGTATTTCATTTTTAATAAAATAGGAAGTTATGTAAAGTATTATTTCTTTTTCCAAGATACAAATACTTCTATACTTATTTAGTACATACATTCTAATAAATATATATTATAATATATTAGTTTTTAGGTCTTAATCAGTTAGTTTACAATTTTGCATAATGGTCCAAAATTTCACTCTGACTCGTAATGTACGTCATATGCATTATACAATTATTGCATTATCCCATTATTTCCCAATTTCCATTCAGAGCTTTCTAAATCCTAGACTATTTAATCCGGTGTGGTATAAATAAAATCTTTCTCAGTTTCTATTACAATTGTTGGTGTTGTCTCTGAATTATTTACGAACCAAACAGCCATATGCAACGTTTGAAATTATTGCTTACACCGCTGAACAAACTAAATATTTTGCTAAGAGAATGTCAGCTGAAAGATTTTAAATTGGTTTGATACAGCAAATTTTAACAACATTTTATTAGAATAAATTTAAATCTATGTAGATACTATATCAAATTAATGTACGAGTGGTATCAAATTTAATTTAATTTAATTTATTTCATCACAAAATACCATTTCACAATAAATTATGCACATAAAAAAATTAACACTATTGACACCCCTCCAATTTATAAGCTTTTTTTTTTTGAGTAGGTAGTTGAGTTTTATACTGTGGTTATATAATATTATGTTTAACAACGTTTTCTGAAGTAAGAAAAATTATAAAGGTAATATTATATTATATTGATATTGCTGTTAATATTATTAAAGTTTACACTATAGGTACATTAAATTAAATTGTAAAACATTTAAATTACTAAGATTTTTCAAACTTGTATTAGAATATTCATGTGGTGGTATAGATAAATTAACATATTTTAATTTTGAAGAAAATTAAACTCTTCGTATAAATTGTTTGTTGGTAAGACATAGCGAGCTTCTTAAGTATTATTTTAATTAATGTATTGTAACCAGCTCCGAGTTAGTCAAATGTATATCATTCGTTCCGCCCCAGACTGCTATACCATAACTAAAATTATAGATTGTGTAAAAGAAAAGTAGCGGTTATACCGTTTATTACAATTTACGAGCTTTGTGTATAATATTTTAATATGTCTTCAAAATATAAAATAGCTTCCGCATTGATGTTGAACCTGGTCAGACCATTTAAATTTTACATCAAAAATAATTTCTAGGCATTGAAAGAGGAGCTGGTATTTTTATAATATGAAAGCATGTGTGAAGACAGTTATCATTTAGTGAACATTTAAAAGTATGAATATTATCAATGGTGACGTGAGGCCAATAATTGTAACATTTGATGTAATATTATACGTAGGTACTATATGTTGACGTATAATCATTACACAGTTGTGTGAAGAACAGTATAGGTACTATTATTATATTGTATTGTTATTGCATTTTTTAAGATACATTTCATCTGCGGCAATAGCAGCAGTACTTTCAGACTAGACTCAACAAGTGAAGTTATTATTGTTTTTTTTTTTTTGCCTTTCAGTGTCTCATAGTCGGATGGTACATTTCTTGTTTGCTGCAGTTCATCGTCATCGGTACCATACTCATCAACTTTTGTGTGAAGTATCGAAAAATCGGTGTGGGCGCTATAATAGTATGTCTGTGCATATCGTTAGCCATACCGTTTATTTCGACTTATGTCACTCGATCGTATGGCATAGTCAGAGTGACGATACCGTGAGTAATAGAAATTTTTTTTTATAAAGTGCATAGACGACTGCAGCTATTTCGACGAATGATTATTGTATGGAAATCCTTCGGTTCGATATAGATTATGCAAACACAAAGCAAAGCAAAGCGAAAGTCCGTCTTCATAATAAATAATATTACCGTATTGATATTCTATATAGATTTCTCGAGAGCCCCAGCAACTCCTACGAGTTCCGGAATTTTTACAGGCCATTCTACATGAGAGGCATTCCGTTTTACGCTGGACTGCTGGCTGGCGTTATGGTCGAAGAATTGAAGAAAAAGGAAATCAAACCATCCAAAGTAATGTTTTATGGTGGTGGAGAAGAAAGTTTACCGGTCACTCTATATGTAAAGCGATAGGGTGGCAAACCTTTTTAGGGCAACGTGCCAAAATATTGTAACCAAAGTTTTTAAAAAACTTCACGTGCCAGTTATAATATTATATGTCCATATTATCTATAAACATTGTTTTTTGGCTAATCGAGGAAAGACGAGGAGGGTGTAGTTAAGAGTACTCTCTATTTGAAAACATTTTTATATTATCCCCGGCAGATATAAATATAGTATTATAAATCTTATAAACTTTTTTATTCAACACCTATTTCGTTATTTTTTTAATTAGATTTTTGTTTATTCACCATCGATAGTCTTTAACATCAGGTGCATATCTATTTTCAATTTTATAAATTGAAATATAAGTCCATCTATTAATAATATAAGTAGCTACAATGAATGTATTATAGGCACACTGTATAATATTTACACAAACATTGAAAGTATGGAATGAAAACTGTTATTCAGTACAATTAATACCTAATTATTATGTCTGGAATCTAGTTACAAACTTTTAACATTTTGTAATTATTAGTAACTACCTGCGTACCTATATTGTTTAGATATATTAAATATTTTTAACTATTTTTTTTACTATAATTTTTATACTTCTTATTAAAGTTTGGCTCGCATGCCGTAGGTTCGATACCCCTGTTAAGGTTTCCGTGTTAGAAAATAAGACTTTTATACATTTTTTTGCACCTTTTCTTCAATAAAACCCCGTTAATCCTAACTCATTTCAAAAAATATCGTAGTCTCTTTTTTTATCTTTTTGAGATTTGATTTAATAATTTGGGATTAAAATTATAAATTATTTTAGATATTTTAAATTTAAATTTGTTACAATTTAAAAAAAAAAAATTATACGGATACTCGTAATCGTAGTAAAGCTACGAACTGTTTTCCTGCTTTAATCAGCTCATGATTTCATCACTCTATCTGTACGAAAATGGAATATTTGATATTTTTATAAAACGTGACTAGCAGTGTTGGGCAATCATAATATTATGATTAACCGATAGTTAAAGTTTATAAAGATTACAACAATAATTTAAAAGTTTAAAATGATAAATTTCCGTAAATATACAAATTAATGAATTTTCGATATTAAAAATTTTAGATTAGGTATGTCCCCATTGGTGATGTTAAATTTGACTATAAATATAACTAATAATTAGTGAAATTAAACGCATTCCGTGAAGAACTCGGACAGTGATGATGTTTAATTTTGCTTGAATTTATATTTATGAAGTATTATATAAAATATATTTGGCAAAATTATCTTTATAGTCGTGGATAAAATCAATAAATGGTATACCTATTTGTTGAAATGTATGAATTTTAAATCGAAGATTATAATTAATTATCATCATTCTAATCATCAATTAATCACACAGTCGTTTTGCTCAACAGTGCACACGCTGTAAGGCACATGTGGACATAGGTAATAATTTATATCGAATTACGTTACCTATTGTTTTAGTGCGTCGTTTACGTTTGGACATTTATCATAACCACCGTGTGCAGTCTGGTCCAAAACTACGGTTCTGTTTTTTACGAGAGACACAGACCCTACAATGTCATCGAACAGGCTACGTATGCCATTCTTAAACATTGCACGTGGACGGTTATGCTATTTTGGATCACGATTTGTTACTTTACATCAGGTTATGGTACGTGTACTTCAGTAACCGCACTTTACTTTTATATTGACACAGTTTCTCGGTGCGTTCGATATCAGGTGGTTGGTATAATGTTATGATTATTTACTTATTGATTTAACATTGTATGGCTTCGTATGGGGCTATTAACTGTTACAAAAACTAAACACACGGCATCAATACAACAAAAATAAAAATAAATGTTAATACAAAATACCATAAGTATAACAAGTCATAAAAATATTATATATAGGTACTTAGTCAACATAATATAATAAAACATAATAGAATAAATCACTACAAATTAATGTCTAACTTGGTTATCCAATCTTCGGCTCCCTCTGTTAGGTATAATATTGGTCCTCTCACGCTTCCTTGAAATTTCTTTATTGGGCAGTCTATACGATAATGAGTTCGATTGTTTGCTGACTCTCACCCCAGTCAAGTGCTGGCTTATCCTTCAAATGCATAAGTTCTGCATCTGTGCATACGTTGTCCTCATTTACCGGCACCTGTTTTTAACCTGTAAAGAATTACCCAATTCTGGTGGGAAAGAAAAAAATCTACCAACGGAATCCTGGGATTAGAGATAAGTTCACTATTTCCGAGTCGACTATCTCGTCGACTAATCAATGACTAGTTCGCGGTTCCTCTGAATTCGGAATTCAATAGACAGTGTCTTTTTTGTTGTCTATTGTTTTATAGATTTCAACCGAGCTCTAAGAGTTGTTTTCATCATCAAGGGTAATATTGATTTATATGTACCTTCGAGTTTTTTGACAATCATTACAAGGGCTCTTTCTTTCTGCCTTCGCACTGGAAACCACAGAATATTATAAATGTTAAAATGTGTAATACAAATAAAGTGATAATACTGCTTTCAGAAACGTCCATTACAGTCTAAATCATAATGCTCAAACTCAGGTGTTTTTTCTTTTTAATCTAAATAGGTACTGAACACTTGGTATTGTTGTTGTCTTACAGGTCCAATTGAAAAATTGTTCAATAACAGACTTGTGACGCCATTGGGTAGATTGTCCTACGTAGTATATCTGGTGAATATCCAGGTAATGATGATAATGGAAAATAGACAATCCGCGTCAGTTTCTCCCAGTAGAGAAGTATGGGTAAGTAATCAGCAGTGTCCATTCAGTCATCATCACCACGGGTGGCTCCAGTGGCATGGTTAGGGAAGAGGGAGAAATCATAATTTTCAGAAAATTTCGATATTCTAATATGATTTTTTTTGTAATTTTGTTTTTAACTGTATGCAATTGCTTAAAAATACAGCTATAGGGGGGGGGGGGACGCAGATGACTCGTCACCCCTTAAAGTTAAAAAACGAATCGTTACAACCGAATAGCTCAAAATTACTGAGCTGGTTTTCAACTATGTTACTGAAAAATAATTAATACGCATTGTTAACCGTTTAATGACGGGACATTGGGACTTATAATTTTATTAATACAATAATATTATGTACAATTTATTAATTTCAACCATAAATATTGAACGAGTTAAGTCGATGGATATCATTGTATATATGCTTGTATTACGTAGGTACCTATAGCTTAGGACTTTATTTTAATCAAGAACTTATTTAATCAAATATTTTAATAAGTTGGTCACGTTTTAGAAAACAGCGAAGTATAATTAAAACGTTCCTTATCGTTTATTATTCGTATTATAAATAATATATTTTTGTAAATTTTATTGGCACTTTTTCGAGTCAAAATTCTTAAAATACTTTCAACATACAACCTAACAAATTTAGGATTTCATTCATGCTTTTTGTCATTAATTATATTGCCATTATTTGTGATATCGTTTTTAAATAAACATAATAATATATATTTTACCCTACATAAAATAACTAATATTAAAATATCAACGACAATAGCCATTGTATACATACTATTTAAATCGATCTAACAAACACTATACGTATATACCGATTACGGTGTATCGTTGTCAGCATATTTTTTACAATAGGTTAGGTACTCAGGTAATTAGGTATGCAACGCAACGTAAACCCGTTAGGCGCGTTTCGTACTTTTTATTTTGTACAAGACAATGGACATTTTTTATTAAATGAAGTTGCATTGTATGTTTTTGTGTACCCTAAAAGGTATTTGCGATTAGAACAAGACTGCAGATCGCTGCAGTGGTAAGTTATGGTATATTATTCTAGTTATCCAGCAGCTCGTTGGGTAAGGCCGCTGAGGCTAACATTTTTTTACTTCCTTTTTTTTTTTATTTATTTAATTAATTAGCCGTTTGAAGTACAAAACGTTTTTACAACGTTAATTTTATTTTTACACTACTAAACCCACCTAAGTCGAGTTAAAGCTAAACGTTGTGTAAATAAAAACTTAAGTAACACAAAGAATAGTTGTCTATACGCGTACCTACATACTTCCTTTTTATTGCCTCGAAAGAATATAACTTACTATTAAAATTAATTGCCCAGAGATAAGAAATAAAAAATTAATGTAAAACAGTGGCATATACTAAGTATTCGGATTTAGGATGATCATCGTCGACGATTTCGTCGGTGGACTTAAAATTAATTTCAGTTCGGACAGTTTCGTCGTAATCTACAGTAATCTTCAGACTTTCAGAGTCTCGAGACGTATATTTACGACCTATCGTAAATACCATAATATGTACCTACATGTACAGGTATTATGATCGAAATGGGCTTTTGTACGCAATTTGTTACACGATCGTCAATGATTAAATCTGGAGATGACACCATAAGTGGTAACTTTAATGACTTCATATAACTGATACCTAAATAGGTTTTCAAAAAATTGTCGGTGAATATCAATCTTACTATAATACTTGTTATAACTACATTCCAACCGAGACGATTTCAGAATTATTTTCTAAGCCCATGGCAAAAATAATCTCAAGGTCCAGTGCGAAAATAATTGCGAAGCCTAATAACATTTGTATATTTACAAGTGTGTTTTTAAAATACACACTTTTTTTTTTACTCTTCGTGTTGATTGATTCAGAAGAATTGTCAATCTTTCGGTAGAAACAGAAAATAGTGTTTATAGTAAAAGTGGTCTTTGAATTACATCAATAAAGGCATATTGGCTGGTATATGGTCGATACCATGTATCCAGACTCTTAAAATGCAAATTAAGGCTACGAGTATTGCATAAAACACAAAAAGTTTTATGAAAATATTATTGTAAACCACTTGGTTACAGCCTAACCATAATTGCTCCGTCATTATCATATGCTCAACCTTGAAAGTTATTTATTTATTTCTTAATACTATATCACTTTCTAACTAACTCATTTTCTCTTTATGAAACTTAAAATTTTAAATGCTTCAAAACAGTATAATTTTTGATTTTCCATGTTTTGAACGTGCGAGGTTTGGCCCTGTCCGTCCTCCTTAAGGGCGGCCCTGAATCCAAATAACTGTCTTGAGTGATTGTTTATTTTTGTTCGTGTCAACTAATAATAATTCTTTGTCGACATTTTAAATATTTGCTTAAAGAACTTATTGAAAATGGTCGTAAATGGCGGTGTGTTGTAAAAGTCGTAAGGTTTATAACTATTTCGATGCGTACAGGGATGAATATACATACGGTTTTAAAAGAAGATTTATTGTTTGGGATAGCACTACATTTTTTTATTTCTCGGCACAGTCGACAAATACTATATTATGCTTATTGCGCACTTGAGAATTTTACACTAACGCATGTTTTTTTTATTTTTATTTAGATCGATGGTTGGATCGTCGGTACATTTAGAACGTATCTCGCGGGTCTCACGTTGTACCTCGTCGTCGAAGCACCATTTAATATAATAATAAAAACCATATTTTTTGGCAGGTGAGTGAGTTAGTCCGATACGTGTGTCGCACTACAGTAATACAGTATGCACGTAAAACCGAATTGTTAATGAACGGTAAGGCTTATTGTTTCAGTGCTGCAAACGGTAAAGACTGTGCCAAGCGAAGAAATTCCAAAACTGAAAATACACCGAACGATTTGGGTTTATAATGACTTCAACGACAACTGTTAATTTTAATCTATGCATTTTTGTTATGATCTTAGCGGCACACCCTTTAACAGAATTGCAATAAGCCTATCCAATAATTTGTATGTAAAATAAACAGTCGAATGTACTTCGAACAGTTCTAACATTGTGCAATACATAATATTTATACATCCAGGGTCGATGTATTATAGCGACGGCTGCAGTAGAGCAGTGATTCCTGCTTAGGCACCAAGCCTGGTTACATATTATTATGTGGATTCCTGGACACTCACCAATTGACCTCGAAATATAACATTATGTTAAATATAGGTACTAAAAAAATTAATAAAATTAATTGTACCACCTATATTATAGAGTACCGATGTATATACGTGATGATAATAAAATATTACTTAAAGTTATATATATTATTATAAATTAAATTAAATTCATATTGTTTCCTATATAGATTTAAAATAGATACGTTTTGAACGTGTAATAAATATTACAGTTTTTTTTATTGGTCTAGAAAATTGAGTTTTGGCTTTGACAACTAGAGACCACTACTATAATAGCAAATAGTAAATATATTTTTTATTTTAGTAATTAAGGTCAATTACGTGTTGGCCTTACAACAACTTTTAAATAAAAATATTGATACATTTTTACAATAATATGAACAGTTTCTTGTGTGATATAGGTATAATTGTAATAGTATACAGATAATAATAATAACAATTTTATTTATAAAGCGTTTCAGCGTTTGGCTATAGTAAATCAATATAATGTTTTGACTACATGTTAGTTGAATTACAAGTAATTTAATTATACTAAGATCCACATATACTTTGATCAAAAAAACGTTTCATAACGTTCCATAGATAAATCTCGAATATTGTGGACCCTCAAAATCCACAGGTTGCACCACTGATACGAGTTCTTACGTCACGCTATATTTCTATAAACCTAATATTTAGATAAATGTTTATCGTATACTATAAACCGTAAAAGTATATAGTATAAAGTAACAGTATATAGTTACTATATATATAGTATATAGTTATTTCTTGCAGCTCACACATTTTGTTATAATACCACATGGTTTTAAAAATATATGTAAGTTCAAGTAAACTTTTAATATTATATATTAAACGCAAGTTTAATTACAATGACATTGTAATTAGAGTTGTAAAGTGTAATGAAATATCGTTTACGAAAATTTATATAATATAATATTATATTATAATTAAAACCTTGACATTCCGTTGTAAAATGTTGCAGAAAAATTTACCTATAAACAATATTATATTATTATTATAGATAATATAATATCTTTTAAGTCAAATCTTTCAAAAAGTTCCGTTTTATATAGGTAATAGTCCTCGAAGGAACGTAAAATTAACGTAGCTTTCGAGTTGTTTTTAAGCCATTTAGGATAAACGACCCGCACAGGATATAAGCGCCTAAGAGTCACTCATAAGTGCCCAGAGGGATATAGCCAAAGCGAATCCTGCGGGAAGATAAGAGGACTGTGAGGTCAAATTGAAGATCAAGCTTGACGATTTAAGGTTCAACGTCGCCATCTCGAACGACGCCTTAAAAATACAATTCACACAGACCGTCGCTGCTTGCTTGTGGCTTATCAGAATATTATCTTTTTTTTTTTTTTTACCCATATGGTAACTCGTTTTACTAAACCCAAGAAAAACATCACGTACTAGCTATATACCGCAGTATGTGGTATATGTATACAAAGTCGAACAAATTGCATCGCGTTACAAAATACAACTTACAAACATATAATACGCTGAGAGATTAGACGAAGGAATTACATAAAAATAAAACGTTCAGATGATCTCCCTGTGGTTCAAAGCACACAATTGCCAATGAATTATTATTACCAAAATGTAAAATTCTTATCGTAAATCGGATGTCAGCGCAAGCATTTTTAAGCTGCAGTTCGTTATGTAGGCCAATTTGACGAAATGTTAGGAAAAATATATATATTAATACTTAAATGTATACTATAACTATACCTACCTATAAAGTATAAAAACTATATCAAAGTGTTTTACGAGAGTATATATCTATGTGCTATATTATTATGTCCCGTATATTACCTACCTGCTATATGGGTACTATTGGTTGTTGCGTAAATGTACAATTTTATAAGAAAATTCGTTTAAAACATAGGTGCCTACACACTCGGATTGTTCCTATATAGATCGGCACAGAATGAACAAAAACACTTGTTACAAAAATGTGATCTAGAGCAGCTTGGTAGAGCGCCCATGCTTATCCTTTTTAAAATTCATTTTTTCCGTGGGTGCCTTTAGACCAGTAAATAGGAAAAATGTTTAGGGAGAGCTCAAGCTCCAAAATAAAATTGTTTTGAATGGGTTTTGAGTTATTTTGAGAGGGCTAAGCCTCCCTTCCCCCCCCAAAAACCCTCCACCTATTTGTGCCACTGCCTTGGACCTCATCCAATGTTATTGTGGGTGCCTACTTATATTATAAGAGTTCTATAATTATTTATGCATTTTAATAATCTTGCCGGTATTTTATTTGTGTTTTCGTATGTGTTCAATCTTTTTGTTTGTATTATTTAAAATATTATAGAGAGTGCAGATTCCGTTTCCATTAAATCATAATATAATATTTTTTTTGCTTTTTAAAGTACACTTACCCACGGGTGTCCTCTTCCTGTTTTTTTTTTTTAGTTTTATAGTTTTTTAATTTTGTATGCATTTATACATTTTTTTAAACTTTTTCCAGCAATCCCTAAGTGACATTTTATAATTGTACATATTTTAACTATCATTAATTAAATTAATTAATAATTATTAATTCAACAGGTTTAGAAATCAGAATTGATTACAATTTCTGGTTTCCGTCATTATAATATGTCATTAGACATAAGGTACTTATGTAGAAAGTATTTTTTTTTTCTTAAAATACATTTACCTGCGCCCGCAAGAAAGTGCGCCCTGTCCTCAGAAAGTTTTTAGATTCGGCAAATTTGTCTTGTTATTCGGGACTTCTTATATTATAATCCTCCTGCAATAGTGAGTCTTGATTACAATTTAAACTATAAAAGTATAAACCTACATTTATAATATGCATATTGAAATTACAGTGAAATTTCCACAAAGCGAACTTCCATTTAACAACATTTTCTGTTTAACGAAATATTTTTGAGATCCAAACCAAATATTAGAGCCCAATTTATTCAACTCTATTTATCGAAATACTCAACATTCAATAAGATTTTATTTTTGTTGCTCATGTTACTGTAATATGGAAGTTTCACTGTATTATATTTTGTATTGATAAAACGACTATATTAGTAAATTAATATTGATTATTATCTAAATTCTAATTTAAACTATGATTTGTTTTAGGCAGTACCTGTATTGTTATAATACACAATACTGATTATTTATCTAAATTTTAATCTAAATCATAATTATTAATTTTTGGTACCCATTAGGGACCCAACTATATATTTTAGCTGTTATTCAATTGTCTCACAATAACTATTTCGAACGGCCCGCTAGACCAACTATCCGCCAAATAATATATCCTCTTATACATTATATACTATAATAATATAATATTTACATACATTAAAACTTTAATTTTTCCCAAAATGTATTTAAAATTTAAATTCACCTATATCATACCCCTAAAAAATGCTGGGACAGTCATTTCAACATGATATAGAGAAGATATAAGGTGATGCCTATGGACTATGGTTGCCAACTTTTACGATGTCTTAGAAGTGTCATCGGGTCGCATCACAATTCACCGGAAGTCTGTTTTATTTTTGTTGTGAATACATTATTACCTATGCATGTATATAAAATAATACAAAATAAGTACTTTACGTTTTCGCTTTTTTAAATTTTTACATATTATGAATAGTTCCATACTTCCATATTATACTCCTAATTCGTTGTTAATATATTATTTTACTGGCCGTAGCCATTTTCTTCCAAAAACGAGATAACGTTTTCCTCCACTGTCCATTTTCCTCCAATAAATAAAATAATAAAATAGTTAATATAAACAATTTATGCATATCAAAAAAATAAAAAATATTCTTTATTAGGCTCAATCGACAGCTGATATAGATATAGCCGATACCAGAATGTATCAACCGAAAATGTGATCCTAGCTCGTATTTATTTTTTGGAGGAAAATGGAACCGTCCAATCTTGAGTTGGTACCTAAAACCTTGCTTAGAGTATTATACATTGTTTATCTATTTGTAATAAAATATAATTTTTATATAATTGTATATATTATATTTTATATTTATAAAATCTTTATATTTTCATATTATTGAATTAAAAAAATGTACTACCCTATACTTAAATTTGTCTGTAACTGTATTATTGTTATTATTTTATATTGATTTAATTTATTAGTCAGCTTTTCAATGTACAAAATAATGAACCTTATAAAATATTACAACACTAATAATAATAAAAAACAACTTACTTATTATTATATAAAAAATATAATTTATATCCATTTGCCATTTTATATATTAATGAATCTTATGAATAGGTAATGTGTTTTAAATTAACTAGATTGTGTTCATTTATTAATTATTAGTGACTACAAGAAACAGAATAAATAATTTTTTTTTTCATGGAATTTAAGATTTATCATAATAATAATGATCCAACATAATAATAGTCAATAGGTAACATTATGATTAGAACACTTTATTTCATGTTCATTATTTATAATATCTAAAATATAATGTTTAAAATTAAAACTATGATTAGGTATTGACTTTTTAACAACATATTTTATCGTATTACGTAAATAAAAATGGAGTACAAATCTTCATCGCAATGATCATAAAATCTGAACTACCGAATTGTCATAGTTTTTTTCATCAATATTATCGCATTATAGCATTGAAAGATACTAGTGAGGAGTCAACTTATGTCCTTATATCTTCTCTACATCATGAATTTCGGACTTAAGGTTAGGTCAGGAGAAGGTATTT